AGGGAGAGAGAAGGAAGGAAGGAAGGAAGAAGGAAAGAAAGAAAGAAAGAAAGAAAGAAAGAAAGAAAGAAAGAAAGAAAGAAAGAAAGAAAGAAAGAAAGAGAAAAACAAGAAAAAAAAAGAAAAAAGAAATCCCAAAGTAGGAATCTTTTAGCTCTGTTCTATCCTGCCCCTAAGCTCTGACATTGAGCCTCTTCCAAGGCCTGTTTGCTACCTCTGGGGGCCCAGCAGAGTCCTGTGCTCCTGCTGCTGGGAACAGAAGGTCAACTCCACGCAGACCAGCGTGGTTCTGTGGTCGTGGACTGCATCCCTGGTCCCAGCTGCCAATCCAGAGACAACCACTGACACGGGAAGTACTGGGGCTATGACCATTATGATGCTTCAGGGCAATGGGATTATGAAGAGTCTTCTACTCTAAAAGGAATACTCCTTTTGTATTTTATTTTTCCAGTTGTCTACAATGAGCATGTATTATTCTGCGGGGGAAAAAATTCAGCCAATAATAATGTAGTCTAAGAACTAATAATAATGTTTAAGAAACATTTTGCACCATTGAGGCATCAGATGGAAAGAGGGCAAACACAGCCCACCAAGATGACTGCACTGAGGGACACCAGAATCTTTTGTGTCCATCAAGTCAGGTGGATTGTTTAGAAATCTGTCCCCTTCCTCTGTTGTACACCAGCTGGAAGATAGCCCAGAGGCCAGCCCGGCTGTTATGCACCAACTATTTCTCCCTGTGGTGAAATCACTCTCACTCTGACTCATCAGATGTCCCTGTAAAGGGTCGGATGTGTCCACTGGAAGGGTTGGTCCCTAGAGCAGAGAGGATGTTTTCAGAAAAGTAGCTTCACTTTAGCTACACAAATCGACCAAACATCCCATGCAAATCACACCAAAGATGACCAGAGTGTACTTTTTCCTCCTCCATTCCCCCAGATACTTGAAAATAAGTTAATAAACACTCTCAGAATAAACCAAGCGAAGACAGAGTCAATTCTAAACGCCCCTGGGTGATGTACTTGATTCCATTATTCTGAGTCTGACTCAGGTGGGCAGCTCTGGAGACCTAAGCAGTACATCCTCCCACTAACTCAGGACAATGACACACGGCTCTTTCATTTTAGACCTCTCATCATGACTGCGGATAAATATTAAGACATGGGGCTCAGAGACTCAGAGTGTCTTCTTCCCTTACTGAAGGAAAGGCAAGTGTCACTAGGTGAAAACACTCACTCCCAACAAGAGAAGTCACCAAAAGGGCACCAGGACCCAGGGTGCTGCATATAAACATGGACAGAAGAAGGCTTTGTCTTGATTTGGTGGAGTCACTGAGTCTTTGAGTTATTGTGACTTTGTGATCCCTGAAATTGAAAGGGTGCAGTTGCTGAAAGGCTGGGGCCTATAGAAGGACTGAAGCTGAAACAGATATATTTTAAATTTTTTTATGCTCTGATGCCAAGGAAATCACAGAACTCCGTATGAAACTTACAGCTACAACAGACAAAGAAGGGGGCTGCTGGGAGTGTATGAGCCTCGCGAAAGACAAATTGCTTAACTATCTGAATTGACCAAAGCTGATGTAGAGGGAAAGTGGAAGTGAGTAGAGGGAGAAGGGAAAAAAAAAAAACCAGAAAAAGCAGCCAAAACCCTCAAGACAGAGAGAGAAACAAATAGGACCTCTTTCCAGGCAGATACGTCCCTTCCCTGAATCCCCAGGGCCATAGGGCAAGGGAGGAAATAAAAACTGAAATAGGCCCCGTGCTCAAGGTCGACTTGCATGAAGCTGGAAACACGTACATGGTCCTAGATCTTGCCTTCACATCTGTAGGAAATTTGAACTTGACCTGGCGGAGGGGGGAGTGTAGGGGCTGGTGGGTGAGGCTGCTGACCCTAGATCTCGTCAGAAGGTTGGGTTCTGCTCTGATCTGGGGTTAGCAGAGTCTGACCCAAACTGGCTCACAGGTTGAGCCTCCTCCCTTCTCCTCTGTCTCTTTCGTCTTCTTCACCCCTCACGGCACGAAAGCTTCAGTAACAGCCTCGAGTGGCATGTCTTCATCTGGGGTCAAGCCCCCATGCTAGAGCCGTTCTCCTGCCAGCCAGGACTTGTCATCCCGGCCGTGTGGCTGGGCTTTGACTGGCCCCGAGCAGGATCAGACCCGGAGTGTGTGTCTGTAACTGCCTGGCCCCACAATCAGAAAAGCAGCTCCAAGCTCCGGCTCTGCTGCTGATGAACTGAGCCCAGGTGGTTTCCTTCTTTCCTAGAAGTCCCACTAACATTTCAGGAACATTTCAAAGGGATGCAGCAGGCTGTGTTAAAGGTCTGCTACAAAGATTAATAGCTGAAGAGAGTGGATGATCTATTTATGGAAAGCACAGGATGAAAAAAGAGGGTATAAATAATAGGTCGGTGAGGTGAGACGTACTGGTTATTTAAGAAAAGTTACTTAAGAAAAGTTTAAATGATTGATAGCAAATTGCCCTATTTGGAATTCCTTTCCCTATTTTCCTACAACTGGGAAACAGCTGAAACCTGGATCAGGTCACAAACTCTCTGCCCCAAACAGATGCTCGTGGACGCTCACCTCTCGATGCTGGTCGGAGGGCAGTCAGGGTACTTGGAAGGAAGACAAGGGCCTCTGAGACTGAGATACTTCTCCTCACTTTTCCTCACGTCCTTCCCCTGAAGGGGGAAACCTAACTTTAAAAAGAAAAACTTTTAAAAAAATTCCCGAGACAATTGCAAAACTGGGTTTTCCTGAAAGTTATCTCCGTCCTCATAGAATAAATCCTTTGCTTTAAAAATAATCCTTAGGCAAGTAGAAGCTAGCAGCATTTCCTCACCAGCCATCCCCCGGCACACCCACTCACAGGGCACTCACACGGGAGCACTTCTGCAGAAGCTGGCCTGTGTCGCGAGCAAGGAAGTCTTGAATTGTACACTCACATCTGCATCCAGATACCTATTAACACAAATGTACACAAAATGCACCAGAGAGATACACGCATACAGAGACCCACACTCAGACCTATCCACGCACATCAGATGTTCTATCCGGATGTGAACTGCGCGCACGCGCGCACACACACACACACACACACACACACACACACACACAGTACAAAAAGAGCAGAGGGGGAGAGAGGCGGGACTTGTAGCCTGGTGGATGGGAGAGGGAGAAGGGAAATGGTTGGGAGATGAGAAAAGGCAGGAACTGGAGGGGAGACGGGCTAGAAGGCAAGTCGATGAAACCGAGGCCACGGTCGGGAAGGAAGGCTGCTGAGTGAGTGGCAGAGTTCCCAGAGCAGATTCAGCCATGGAGCAACTGCATTCCCGGCTACACGGTTGACCCATGGCGGTGCAGCTTGGGGAGGTCTCTCTTTGCCTCCCCAGGACTGCCCAGCCCCTGAAGGGTCACTGAGGTGACCGCCAACTGCTCCTGCCTGCTCCTTCTGGCAGACTCCTGTCCCCGCAGCCTTCACCACCCTCTGGCTGACTCCAGAGCTCGCCAACACCTGCTGTGCCAATTGGCTCCACTGAGCCCGAGACACTGGGCCAGACTGGCGCCACCTCTGTTGGGGTGCTAGCCGCCAAGACGGCTCTTTTGGGATTCATGGCCTTGAATATCAAGAGGGAAAGGAGGCTGGAAAGAGTCAAGAGTTCTCTGTGAATGTACACGATATCATACAAACGGGAGCCCATGAGACAAGGAGGCGCTCTCTGCGTGTGACCCTTTTTCCATTCGTCTGTACAGAGGTCACCCCAGGAGAGGGGTGGATGTCCAGTGACAAAGGACAGCTTCCGTGATGGGAAGTGAAAGGTCTTGTTCAGTATACGTACTTGACAACAGCAACAGAGATAACATCCCTTCTCCCTCCTGCACGGTGGTCCCTCTTCGCTCATGGCTTGTGGGCCCAGCTGTGTCTCCAACTTCCAAAATTAGAGGACTAAATCCCGTGGTGTCCCAGAGCTGTGATGTGAAGAACCACAGGGTCCCCTGCCCAGTGGTTTTGTTCTTGGTTCTGCCCTCTGGGAATTTCAGCTGCACTAAAAATAACAGAAAAATGCAACACAAATGATAAAACCCCACTCAGAAAACACCCACCACACACCCACCACACACACACACACACACACACACACACACACACACACTCACACTCCAGGGATTGAAGCTGCAGAGCCAGCACCCATGGAGGCCTGCCCCTTATGGTGCATCCTAGGTCTCGGGGCCTCCGTCCTGGGCCGTGGAACCACCACAAATAATAGACAACAGTCATAATGTAATATTTCCATTTTAAAAGGTGAAAAGAAAAAAGGAAACCACTCAAAGTAGTCACACACACACACGCACACATACACACATCACACACACACACACACACACATCACAGCGTGACTCCAAGGCTCCAATCTGCCTGGGAAGTGGGGTTTGGGGCAGGGCAGCCTCTTGTTTAACTGGGTGTAAGGCAGCTGGAAGGTAAGACTGGGTTTTCTGAGCATCCACTGAAGCGTCCTGTTAGTGATGCGGGTCTTGCCTCTCAGCACGTTGTGTTCTCCCCCTTCCCACCTCTGAAACTTGGTCCGAAAGTTTGGCAGCGAAGAGGAAACGTCCTTCTCGGTGTGTTTTCTCTTCCACTCCTTGTGTGTCACTGGTCAGGCTGGAAGGAAATCAGAACAGGACGAGCAGGAGAAGTGGTTCTGTGAATGGCCTCAAAGATCTGGTTTCACTCTATGAACTAAGGGCGGGGTTTCTCGGTGAGATGATCGGTGATGGGGTGGTGTCCCCTCCTGTTGGCCCAGTGGATGGTACTTCCTTCTCGACACCTGTGCCGCTTTGGACCCCAGGCACCGTCCCTTCCCAGCCCACCACCCCATCCTTGTGAGTGACGGGAATCAGGACACGACCTCGAATGGGGATGTTCACTCTGTCTTCCAGAAACCAGGGAGCCAAAAGTTAAGAATTGATGGAAGAGCCACAGGATGGGCACGCCTTCCCCATCTCGGTGATGAGATGACACAAAGTCCAGACGAGATGCGGGTGCCTGAGCCAACTCAACTCGACCTTGGCACTGGCATCATGTTGATTTAGTTTTGTTGTATATATGTATATTATATATATATATTTATATATATATATGTGTGTGTGTGTATGAGTTTGTTTTTTTTAGCACACTGTCCCATTCTCGGGTCTGGATTTTGGGCAGTTGGTCCTCGGGACAGGTTGGACAGAAGGGGCCAAGGTACAGAAGAATCCCGAGATTAGCGTGAGGCCCAGGCCCCCCCATGCACAGAACATGGACCAGCCGTAGCCGTGGCTGATGTCATCGGGGAGTCCGTACAGGTAGCGTGGGTAGCGTGACAGCTCAAAGTTGATCCCAGCCACACAGGTGCACAGTGAAATGATGCAGAAGGTTCCTGGAGGAGAAGGGAAGAAACAGGGATGGGGTAACAGGGAAGGAGAGGGAAGAGGAGAGGCAGAGAGAAAGAGAGAAGTGAGGTTTATTACATCATCCATTTTCTTGAGTAGGAAAACTGAGGAGATCCAGGTAAGAGTAACCTGCTAACAAGATCACTATTTGGAAATATTCATGGAGATGGGAATAGTATCCAGGGTTCAAGGCTTCCTCGTGCTCCAATAACTGCCCAGTCTTGAACAAACTTGGGAAGTCTCTCCTTTGGGAAAATACTAAAAATGTATCAAGTTACAGTTGGTGTAGGGTGAAGTCAGGCAGAAGAACCTTCAGTTCATTTTTCTAATGCATTTAAAATTCATTGTCTTTCTTTGGAGACACAGAAAACACCCGCTGTTGCTACTCCTTTAAAGAGGAAAACATATTTATTCTTTTCTTTCCTATATACAATGTCCTCTATGATACTGGGTTTTCCATTAATCCATTTACCAACAAGTCATCCATATTTGGGAAGCTTTTTCCCTTTTCCAGTAAGACAACATTTCCCAAAGAGCTTTCCATGAACACTGAGCCTAGGAGATAACTCTTCACAATGTGGCAGCAGAGTCAAAACACCCTGAGCTCTGTATGTAATGTCTCACCCATGAAGATTCACAATTCACAGTAACATAAAGTAACTTGTCCAACCCAGCCCTCTGAGATATTTCACAAACGTATTTAATGATGCTCCTTAAAAAAAATATTGCTCATAGGAACTTGCAACGAAAAGGTGGTCATAAGAGATGGAATGTTATCAAACAGTGTAGAATTCCAAGCCCAAGAGCGTTTCTCAATGTTTGCCATGTCTTATGTTTCTTCCGTCGCTGCAGAGATGTAAGCAACAACCAGAAGAAGTACTTACAGCTTGGGAAGGCTGGGTGGGGGAGAAGTTAGCGCCTACAGGGGTCCAGACACTTTGGTGGCTGTGATCTGCATTTCCAAAGACCCTAAATCAGAAGATAGTGGAGAGGTAGGGCGACCAGTTAGGTGCCTGCTTTGGTCACAGGGAGAAGGGAGGAGGGGGCTGGCGAGGAGAGAGCAGGGCGGGACTGACTGCTTAGGGAATGAGTTCTGGGAGAGGCAACTGAAAGCAATGCAGCAGGGGTGACCTGGGCACCACTGCCGCATCAATAAAATTGTGTGTGTGGTGAGCTTGTGTGCGTACACGTGCGTGTGGGTTTATGTGTGTGCATGTACGTGCTTATGCATACACGTGTGTGTGCAGTGACCACTGTCATGTACCAACTCATGTGACACCATCATTACTTGGGAGAAGAGTGTTCCCAAACTTGGAGGAGTTGCAAAGCACCCTGGGGCCCTCATGCTGTGCACTGGGGTTCAGACAGAATTCTCAGAAGATACACAGGGTGGGTTAGGTCTCATCCCAGACTTTTTGAATCAGAATCTTGTGGGAGAGGATGGGAATCTTTCCTCTTTAAAAGCTCTTCAGATGATTTCTGTTCATCAGCCAGGTAAGACCTTGTCTAAGGGCAGAGGTTCTTTCTTGAGACACAGATCCAGGTGAGGGAAGAAGCAGAGGGGGGCCAGAGGAGAGGAGGCAGCCTGTGGGTCTGGCCAAGAAGAGTGATGTCCTGGGAGTGTCAGACCGAAAGAAAGCTTCTTTTTGACACCAGTTTCAAAGAATCCAAATTCCATCAAATCAGAGCTGGCCTGCTTGTGCCTCAAGTAGGCTTTCAATTTCTGGTTTGGAAACCTGGATGTGCAATGATATCACTTACGAAAATTTAGATTTAGGACAGGAAGAGAGTGTGCGTGTGTCATGTGTGCTGAGTTCAAATCTGAGCCGCCCTTGGGATGGAAGGCACTTGGTACCATGGGTCTGGAGCCTGGTAGAGAATTCTGAGCTAGAGCTGTGGACTGAGCCATCATCTTATAAATCAAAGCTCTGGCTGTGACTGAGGTCACCCAAAGGCTTTACATAAACTGTATCTGCATAAGATACTTTAAAAAATGGAGACATTTCTTTCCATCACACAGTTCTCTGTCCTGATGAAGTCTAGTGATTTGTTCTAGGAGAGAAGGCTGACCTTAAGGAAGTTTTGATCTTCCCAAGCTGCCAGTAGTTGAAAGAGCTTGATAGACACTATTTCAACGGTGTGTTCTGCAAGCCAAGGGGACAGGACACAAAGGATGTGGTTGATAAATCAAGACCTAATTAGTTAATTACCATATGGTCCTAATTACTGGTGGTTGATAATACATACATCTTATTGTTATGTTGTGTCAATGGAGTTAATTGCAGTATCTTCCTGGCCTTAACTTCCTTTCAGTTGTTCTCTGACTTTTCGAAACTCTTAAAATTTCTGTGGTTTATTAGCTCTTGTCAGTATTCCCACTGATGGGAAAACAGACCCGAGGACTCTCACGTAAGATGGCCCTTTAAGCACGTCATCTGGGCAACCTATTAGGAAATCCCACGTGACAAAGAAGGCAGAGAGGAAGAGGCTCTGTCAGTTCCCACAGACTTTACTCTTTTCCATCAGGGGCAAGGATTCACATTTTTATGTGCTTCTGCACTTACAAATTCAAAGTTGGAAATGTGAGTTCCCTAGAAACGGACGCAGGCAGGCACGGGGTAGATCCTCAGTAAACAGACAGAATGAATCACATGTTGCCATTGCTGTTCGGACCATGAAAGAATGATGTGCTTCGAAAGATGTTGACGGAGTCCCAGAGAGTGGGGGAGATAAGGGACACCAGTGAGCAAGGACCCTGCCTGACCCAGTTTTCTGTCTAATTGTCAACTAACTGGGGAGGGTGGGGTACAGAACTCCCCCCACTCCAGCTGCCACCACCAACTCGCTGGGCTTCTCTGGGGAACTAAGACAGATTCTAAATGCCTCTGCTGGACAACAGGCCTCAATTAAAGGGCAGTAATAGATATTCCAGCACTGGGGATTGCAGTCTGTTTCCAGTCACCCAAAGCACAGTGATACTTTGGGCAAGTATGAGGCCAGCCCTCGTTTCTCCACCAGAAGCAGCAGTGGCCTCTGGGGCCAGGTCTTTAGAATCGATCATTTTATTTCTGGAGAGCGCTTATTGATGGAATAGACGGGATCCAAGGAAGGCAAATGCAATAAGGCACAGTCACAGCTTCTTAATACGTCCTCCCACTGCTTGGGGCTTGAGCTTAACTCCAATCAGGCTCCAAGCCTAATCATAGTCACAGTGTAGCAATTAAGTGAAAAGAATTACCCAAGCCCTTCCCTTTGGAGCAAGGCTCTGCTCTGTGCCCAGAGCTGGCTGTGAGAAATGTCAGGTGTACCGCTGGCTAGGGAAGTAGGGACCGCGGTAGCACAGATGTCAGATCTAAGTGATGCCAGGTCGGGGGGAGGCAGGTTAACTGTGATGGGGCGGACGCAGGAGGACATTCCCGTGGCAGCGGGCTCCCGGGTGTGCAGAGCAGCCAATCAGCAAATATTTGCTGAACATCTATGTTTGTGCCAAGCATTATGCTAGGTGTTAGGGGGATAAAAAGGAGAATAAGATATGATCACTCTTCTCAAGAATTTTTAATTAAATCTAAAATAAAAAGATGAAAAAATATCTCATAATCTAGCTGGGGATAGAAGATATACATAAACGAAAAGCCGAGGATGAAGTGAAAATAGAACCAGACTGGGGATTAAGAGATCGGAGTTTAGAATCAGCTCTGAACCTTTGGTCCCCTCATCTGTAAGATCAGGGAGCTGGAGCAGACAAGCATAAGTTCCCTCCCATACCTAGTCATCTTTAGAAAAAGAAAAAATAATACTCAGAAGTAAATGGTTAAGAGACAATTATATTAGGCCAGGGAAGGTTTCCCAAGGGAAGTGGGGTCTTGAAAAATTAGCAGGATTTCTGCAGGCAATAAACAGAAGAGGGTCCTCACCTGGCCTGAAGAGCATCCCTCCTTCAGTCTCAGTGCCCCGGTGTCCTAGGTCTCTAAATTAAGCCAAGCTTTTAGTCACCCCAGGGCCTTTGCACTTGCTCTTCATCCCCTTATCTAAAATGGCCTTCTTCTTGCGATCTTCTGGGATCTCAATTCAAGCACTATCCTCTCAGAGAGATCCTTCCTTACCCTCTCTGAAGTTGTCCCTTCTCCAGTGGTTTTCAAATCATGTTCCACAGAGGTGCCTCAGGAGCTGCTGCTGGGAAAGGAAGAGGGAATAGAAGAGACTCCCAGCGCTCTCTCCTCTCTGGCCAGAACAGCCCTACTTTGATCTGTTTCCTTGTGAAATTTCATCTGAAGAAAGGATTCCAGTGATCTAAACATTTCTGAGACACACTGGCCTTGTCCATTCACAAGGGGACCATCAGGTGCGTCATTTCAGGAACTATACTTTGGAGAGCAAAGTTCAATAGCTATACCTTTGGCAGAAAGAGCTCATCAATCTCAACTCTCATTCCTGCTGGTCCTGGAAGGGGCTTCGGTCTCCTACGCAGCCCAGCTCTCAGGGCAGCCAGCCCCAGGCCGTCAGCTGCAGCTGATTAGAAGGAGAAAGGAAATCTAACTACCTCTCTGTGCCAGGACTCTCACGCGTATGGACTCAGAGCTCAGGAAATCCTGTTAGATGAGACAGCACCACCACACATAGCCACAGCCTGAGAGCTGGTGCTAACGAGACCTGCTGGCAAAGAGGGAACCGCTTTCTCCAGACCCCGCTAGTGCCCCCATTCGCACACTCCACCTGGGAGCGGGAAGGCACAGCCAAGGGCTGGAACCAACTGTGTAAACATAAATGCTTCCTTCTGATTCCAATGCAGCACCTGCTTCCTTTGATGACCATCCTCACCTAGAGCCCTCTCAGGAATGACACCCATGATGTCATCTGGCCTGGCCCTGGCTACTCCTGCCTGTGTGACCTGTCAGCACCCGGTTGGAAGGGGACAGGGCCGTGAGATGCTCCAGGATTGGTGGAGCACCCCAGGGGTGCCCCACCCCCTCCACTCAGGGCACAGCTG